GAGAAGAAAACAAAACACTGACACAAACAAAACAAAAGAAACACACCAAACACAACAAACACAAACACATAAGACAACACAAAAAAATACGGAATAGCTCTTCTCACGGCCGGGAACACGCCAAGCAATCACGACAGTAATAGTAATGGTCGACCACCCATACGGACCGGAACTCGCCCTAGACTCCAACACCAGAAACTGAAACTTCCGCACCTAACTGAAATTGGCCCTAGAAACTCGCCCCTGCACCCGAGTAGCCGACCCCACCCTCAGCCGGAGGAAACCGAACCAAACCCCAACACACCACCATTGCTTCGAGCTCTGCCCACACCACGGGCTACAACTCGACGCACCAGCAGCACCTTCGACCCACGCACCGGAGACCAAAGGAAAAGAGGGGAAAGGACAAATTACCTCTACTCCGACCGACCACAGCAATCTGGCCGTCGGAGCCACCCTCAAGTCTCAACTATCGTCCAGAAGAATGAAAAAGTAGGGGTATACGGTGTTTTAAATACTGTACCAGTGATCATACTGGTCTAGCCACCGGTACGCGGTATTACCAGTCAGACCAGTAATATCGATGGTATTATCAGACTAGCAAATATAATTATATACATAAAAATGTATAAAACCAAATGCAAAGAAGTAAAACAATAGATTATTATAATTATTAATTTCAACTTGTCAATGAGATAGAAATAAAACATTCTAACTACTAATTTAAATTTTATATTTTTAAATAAATAAATTTTATTTATTTTTTATTTGTTGACCGGTATTTTGGACCGGTCAACAAATTCCCACAAATACCTTCAATATTTTCACTTTTGTCTCCAATTTCAGCAGTCCTCGATCCGCAGTTTACATCCAAAATGGCATCGCGAATCCAAAGTCCACCAACCTGCCTACGCCAAATTCGCCATTGAAGAAGGCGACATCGCGGGAGATGGTGGAAGTGCGGTGTCCCTAGCACAGAGATTCCATATACCACCTTGTTTGCCTTCTTGCCGCCCTTATAACCATCATCACCTGCCTCTTGCTCCTTCATAAGGACATCCATTGCGAACCTTTGACTTTTCCGTCCAGGCGAACAACCATGTATTTGTTTTTTCCTTCTGTTTCTCCATCGTTGCTCAACCCTAGATTTGTAAAATTGTTGTTGTTTTAATAATGTTTATGTATTAATTCTTCACAATTATGCAAAAAATTCCTTCTCCTCTGGATTTTTTTACGTAAAATTGCCTCTACCACCATCCAGCGCACATTTTCCAAATTGAGGAAACAATATACAAACCTAATTCAATATCTGGGGCAAAAATGTATTGTTGCATTTTATCAACCTTGAACCAAACATGTTCCTGGGCCTCATTGTATCAAATGTATAAAGGGAATAAATGCAATGGGAATTATTCAAGCCCATTCCATTGTTACAACCAAGCCCATCCTTAGTGGATATGAATGCATAGATTGATATGGACTCTTTCAATGTGTTAAGGTTCTATAAGGAACGTCAGAATCATGCAAGTCACAGATTATTCTACAAACTTGCAGATTATTCTACAAGTACTAGAGTTAAGATCAATGTGTTAAGGTTCTATAAGGAACGTCAGAATCATGCAAGTCACAGATTATTCTACAAACTTGCAGATTATTCTACAAGTACTAGAGTTAAAATAGAATGCTTACGGCTTAAAATTTCGCAGACTTTGGATAATTACTCAAAGAATCCTCATTTCGTTAACCTAACAAAGCATATTTGGATCGAGTTCTTGAAATCAAAATTGATAAAATGAAGTAAACTGGCCTAGAATGTTCCAACCCAGTGATGATTGCCCTAGATTCGAACCATTTATCAATCACAGATTCACAAATGTACTAACAAACATTGTCCGAACGCCTGGAAAACATAAACTTCTATCACTGAAGCATAGGGTAAAATTTTGCGTGAAAAGCTGTTTTTGTGCTTGAATGACTATATATATGCTGATAATTTCTAGGAGAACAATAGCATAGGGGAGAAGAATTATACAATTGACTTGCTCATTGACCATAGATTCAAAAACTTGCAGCTGAAGCTTCAAATACGCCCCTGGCCACAATTGTTCTGTAGTTTATCTACCGAACACGTTAATATACTAAGATGTTAAAACTATTCACCTTTGAACCCTTTTGCACGTAGCCCTTGTCCATTTACAAGGCAAATGTCCTATATTGTTACATCAGTCTACTCATGTACACATGTTTCCTCCCTAAGAGAGAACCTGTTGGAGAGGTGAAGGCCCAGTCGATAATAAGCCCAAAAAGAATGAGGATAAGCTAACATACAGATCGATCCGTGCGGTCATGTCCTTCATGGAACCCACCCACGTTGGGTAGACCCACAAATTGGAAGAAGAAGATCCAAACCTGCAAAATCCACATAATCTTGAGTCCTACTGATAATCAAACCAATAAACCTCTTCACACCTCATTAATGGTCGGAAAATAGGCATAATATGTATTTAATAGTAATAACAATAAACAGTCAAGAAGGTGCTAGTGTGATTGGGAACATCCCATACCAAATTAATCCACCTCAACAAAATTACCTTTTCACGCGCCACCAGCTTCCTCGCCCGTATCCGACAGGAGGCCAGAAAATCAGCATCCAAGGCGCCACGAAAAAATTAATGCCAAGTAAAAAGGGAGTCCTGATGCTATAAAGCCTCGAGGGTAACAGACGACTTGGTGAAGACAGAGAGAACAAAAGGGGCCTCCTCCCCTGGGTGGATCGTGGTAGGTACTATGGTATAACCTTTAGGATCAGGATCGAGGACCATCTCGCACGATATTTCACGGGAGTTTACATAGTCGGTCCCACCTACCGACTCGTGAAGGTAGATGTTGTAGGCCGCACGGCGGCCCCGCGTCTTGAGGATCCTCATGCCTATGTAGAACATCATTGAATCGTGGCTCGACTGGTAATTTCGGAACCCAGCTGTTGTTCTTGAGAACCTCACACCCTAAAAAGAATTTTATTTTGTGCCCATTAAAATTCATGTAACAGGGTATCTGATTTGTTAATGAGCAGGTCAGTTTATTTTTATAGGTTAATATTGAACTTAGAGCAGGTTTTTTTTACTCCCAAGTAGGCAGCATAATATTTATACCTGAGTTAAGGTAATGAACACGTGAATGGGTAATGATGCATCAGGGCCATTGGCTCTAAGTCGAAATTGTGGGTTCTGATGCCAAGTCTCATAGTCTTGACATCCCCCGGCACTGTATCCACGCCACTGACTGTGAATGGAATAACGCATTTCTGGTGGGTAGACACGGCATACGTATATCGACCTGAAATGTATTTGGAAATCCTGCCACGACATCCAGAAGATACCGTCTTTCGCCTGTTTCAAATTTTGCAGAATTAGATTTTCAGAAATAAAATTCATGACAGCTTTTACAAAAGGAAATTATTCACAAAGGAAAATTCTAGGAGTAAATTTCGTATACTTGAGGTGTGTGCTTCAGTTTGTGCTTCATCCTATCCGTCCACTCGGGTGATGAATCAGACCAAGGCCCGTTCCACTCAACCTCATTTGCCCAAGGGTTTCTGATCTGAACAAGTTTATGTCCATCTACTTCGCGTACCTGACCAATTATAAAAAAAATATATATGGGATCAAATATTTTTTATAAATTAGGTATTGTGATATCCAAAGGAATTTGCTTCCAGAAACTTCTCTTTCAGGAAAGGGAAAAAAAATGATTTACCATAATTATAGTGAAAAGATAGTTGATAATCAGAAATCCACAGAATTTTGCAAATACAAGCTAAAAGGTGAATAAGTTAAAAAGGTGTATTTGACAATAAAACCATAAAGAGTTCTCATTAGCGTATTAGTGAAAGACACGACACATTTGTGTGGCCAAAACATTTTATGAGAAAATGTTTGCAAACATCCCTTAATTTATTATAAGAAAAAGAGATCGATGAACCTGCAATATCGAGTAAGCATGGCCTTGCACGATACCAGAAGACGAGACATGCACATCCGATCCCGATGGACTACCAGCACCGAGCAAGAAGCCTTCTTGTTTAAAACGCAATAGTTGGGACCAGAGTCTTCCACTAGCAAGATCGATCTGGGACTGAGCACTTCTCATGTCAATCTCCTCACCCGCACCTCCAGTTAGGTCAACTAGAGCATCTTGCACAAGCCCACCTTCCAATGCTTCATACGACCCGTGAAGCTTGGCGTATGCCTTTTCGAGTATAGAGACCCATAATTCATTTCCCTTTTTGCTGGTTGCAAATGCAGGTTTGCCAGGTGACTCGCACGGGATCCAATCATCAACAACAACAGGAACCCATTCGCCCTAAGGTCAGTAGTAACAAAAAATGTAAATCCAGTAACTTAAGAATGAGAAAACGCGACAACAAGAAAAAAGAATATAACAAAAAATGGAAAAAGAAACTAAAATAGCAGCAGACAAGATTGCTCTCATATTTTTAGATTATTCAAATAAAAAAACTTAAATCCTACTGATAGCAACAGAACTGGTATGAGTCAACCTCAATGAAAGCTGGTAATGCTAAAGTCACAAGTAAAAGGGGCATTTCCTGCATGTTTTCACGAAACAATTCCAGGCCATGGACAAGATTATGAAGACAAACAGATAGACTGAAATAAATGTGACTTCAGAATCTGAACAACCTGAATGCAAAACCGAACTGTATAAATTCCTTCCTCATTGTAATCTGGAGTTATAATGACTTCGGATACTCGTGACACCTCAGTCAGCACAGCAACCGCACTCAAAAACCAACAATCGCCCAACCGGCCCTGTTTCAAGTTAAATTTACAGAAGTAAGCATAGAAGTATATGACTGAGAATATGAACACCCTTCGAGGCCAATAGTACCTGACAAACATCAGAAGGATTTGCAGTCCCCGAAAATAAACATGGACCAGAACTCAGATGCTTCTCTTTAACTATTTCATCCGGTCTCATCCATTGAGAAACAACCTATGATATTCCACATCAAGCCAAGGCACATTATACAGGGTATTTATTAGGAGGCAAAGTACTGAGGGTAAAAACAAAGGAAAGAAAGAAATTAAATATACAAGAAACACTTTCCCAGAATCAGAAGCATTGTTGTTTGAGAGGAGCAGTTTACTTTAGAGTTTGTAGATACTAAATAGTCCCACAAACAAACAACTACCCAACAGCTCTATTTTAAAGGTACCTGCAACTTAAATGGTGGGTTGTCGGGATCAACAAACAAAGAGCGGTCACTGGGTGGGAACTCCTGATCGGTAAAATGCAGCTCCCCCCTTGCCAAGAGAGCTTCCTTAACAGCTAACTCAACCGAACGCATGCGTTGGTTGATTTCTTCCTGAGTCTCCATCCTAGGTTTCCTCAACCTTTTCGTGAAGGAATCTACGTCCAGAATAACCCCTTCCCGGTCCGATCTCCTTTTCCGCCCACTTGAATACTGTCCATCCCAGTCTACCTCGTCCCTGTCGTACAGATCAACCTCAGCAGGGTCGCTTTCCCAGTCCTCGACCTAAGTTAAACAGGCAAAAGAATAATCATGAATACGTTTATAGCAGAAAATAGCATACATATAAATACATTGTAACTCAGGGTTGGATATAGAAACGGCGCAGATAATTGCAAAACAACCCTAGAGAATTGGAATAATTACTAAAAAATCCATTGAAGTTTCAAGTTTGTACCATTTTTTTAAAACTTGAGATTTAGGGGTCTAACAGTGATAATTAAGTAAATTTAATGGTTTCTTATTCTGAAAAGGTTTTTGTTCGTGAAGGGGGAAAGTACTAGACAGAATCAAACAGGGATTTTTTAATATGCCTTGGAAACTTTTATACACCATTTTTTCTAACTGCCCCAATTCTGACGGATGGTTTTGAAGTTAAACCCCTACAGAATGGCCCTTCGGTTTAGCATAACCATCTATAGAGAAATGTCGCTGATCAAAGTTACACACACCCTGACATTTGCTAATCTACGAAGGAAGCTTGTATTTTTGACAGGTAATTGAATTCCTGATGCAATTAGACTAAACAATAGGGGTAGTTTTCTCATACTTATTTTTAAGAGAAGAATAAAGACAGGAACAAACCCTAGGGGGAGAATCTTCCCACTGCCAGTTGTCATCAGTATAGTCCATCAAATCGCAATCCCCAGGGCCAACGGCAGATGGAAGAGTAGCAATTTCGTCTTCATTCAAACACCTTCCCCAGAAGAAAACATCCATCACGTGCATCTTTGGCTCGTTGACCTCGCTATCCGACCTCCCAAATGCGTCCAGATCCATTGGGGGCCTCACACCAATCCAAACTTCCGTGCCCTGTTCCCATATACCATGGCCCACATTGAGCGGGAGTCCCGTCTGGTAGCCATCATAAACCCCATCAACAAAGCAAGTCGCTTCACCTAAATCGGCATCAATAGTCATCGTAATAACATGCCACCTGCAAGAGAGATTGTTTGAGGTCTAGTGGACTTAAAAGTAAAAGGAGAAAGTCAGAAAACAGCAAAATTTGGAACATATTTGATTATATCTTCGTATTTCCAGTTCGTAGTCTCCAGTGTGGGAGATGATGGGTCTGCCGGTTTTGCATGAAGAAATGAAGTTATGTTTTCGTGAGCAATTTTCAAATGAACTTTTATGAATACTAGAGTTTGAAAGTTCTTAATGACGGTACCTCACTTTCAATATATATTACAACGCTAATGGGACTGCAAGTGGTGGGTCCAATTAAACTGAAGTAAGTTCTATCTCAGGCTGTATAGTGGTGACGGGCCCACATTCAATGATGATACGTCATTGATAGGCTTGAATTTTGATATATTTTGATGTGGGAAGTGAAAATTAAAATAAACGGTTCTCGTATGACAAGTATAACTTTTATGTATAGTTGGAAAGAATGAAAATAAACAAACAACCAATGCAAAAAGTGCCGTAAGGAAATATATAGGGCAATCAAACTTCAAATGGAAAGGCCACAAACCTTCCATCAGCAACACATGACGAACTTATACTCCACTCCTTTGCAACAGTAGTCTGCCTATCCCCTTTTGTTATTAAACGGAGACCAACTTGTCCTGATTCAATACCTTGTTCAGAACCAGCCACCAGAATTTCCCAGCAGACTTTTCGCTGAAATTCAGTGCCCAAGAGACAGACTGGGCCAGAGTCGGGTTGGATCAACACAGCAACCGAGAAGCTGACCTTTTGGCTCTGGCATAAACTAGGGTCAATCTGGCCACAGTGCCTGCCACTTGTAGTCGGCTCATCATCAAGAACACATACAGCACCAGCAAGTCCAGTCTGTAATAAGACAAAATAAAGGAACAGATAATCTCAGTAACCAAATACAAGACCACACTTTCATCATGCCCATATTTATCCCTACATGACAGTTTAAAAGGGATAACTAGAAAACTCCCCTCGTGATTTGAAACAGAATAAGAGGGATGAAAGAAAAGAAAAACACATCCATCCTTGATCTTACATTCGTTTTACATTTTTTTTTTTCACAATCCATTTAAGGACCAAATAAAATGGCTGATGTAAGCAAATATATTTGCAGTGACAACCTATACTATTAAGAATACTAGAATTAAAAGGGATAACTAGAAAGCTACCCTCGAGGTTTGAAGCACAATAACAGGGACGAAAGAAAAAAAAAATAAAAATAAATAAATAAAAAATAAAAAAACACTCATCCATCCTCAATCTTACATTCGTTTTACATTTTTTTCACATTCCATTTAAGGACCAAATAAAATGGCTGATGTAAGCCATTATATTTGCAGTGACATCCCTATACTATTAAGAATACTACATTTAACCTCAACTTTCGTCTTACACTTTGCACCTACATCCCTCAATCATATATGTAATACAAATAGCAAGATAAATAATTCAAGCCATTTGTAATACTCCAGAAAGTTCATGGGAATAATTGAAAAATATTGGATGCCATCAACAAAATTCCACAGGTTAACCAACAGCCAGACGAAAAAGCACGGGGAATCAACAGGGTTATTTGTAAATACCACAAAACCAAAAGGGTTGGTATATCCAGAATATTTTTTGGCTTGTTAATTCATTAAATTAAATGAACTTTACTACAGACCTGCAGTGCTCTTTGAGACAATTGAGTCGCACGAATCCTACGAGCAATGTTGGATACTCTCTCGCGTGCAAACGAATCATCGAGTACGGAATCACCTCCAACTGCACGGACAGCGGCTGCCATGGCGGTTGCCTCCCGGCTGCCAGCATTTGGGATGGATGATATGAGAGATGACTCAATTTCCTTCCACTTGCGTTCCTCCTTCTCTAGAAGAGCTTTTCTCCTCTCTTTGCCTCTACCTTCCTCTTCACGTCTCTGCATCAGAGCTTCCTCTTCCATCTCCTTCTCTCGTATATAGCTGAAAGCATCAATAGAGTTGTCGGAATAACATAAGTAATGTTCAATTTCGTTACATTATATTTCAGAAGAAAGAAATAATAACAACAATCCAAACTTGGCATTTGCAAAATTACACGAGGTTTTTTATGATTTCTTTTCTTTTTTTCTTTTTTTTTTCTTTTTTTTTTGGTGTGGGTGAGGCGTGCAGAGTTCAATCTGGGGGTTCTATAAGATTCCCTTTCAGCAATTAAATACAGAAGCTTTCAATTTATTTTTCAAAAAATGATCTTTCAGGATTTTCTTTCCCAATTAAATATTTGAAGTTTTTATCTTTATATCAAAAACTTGGCTTCCGATGACTTTTAAAGTCAACATATTGGCTTGTCTCGCCATAAAGAAGTTGAAAGTCGTTTTTGGAAAAATAAAAAGTAAAAAAATTTGAAAGCTTGATACTAAATCGCAAGTGGTTAAGCACTGCGCTTGATTGGGCAAATATGAAAAGTTTGAAGTCTTTTCCTGTAAATTAACTCATTTTTTCAAATTTGACTTTCTAACCTCTCCTGTATGATTTCAAACTGTCTGCGGTCTTCAGGCATCCACTTCTTGATTTTCTTTGCACTTAGATCAGCAAAACCTATGCTATCCAAGAAGAGTCTCAACCTAACCTCATCCTGAACCCAAAAAAAAAAAAAGGAATTGGTTACAAAATCATAAGAAGGTTTTGGAAAAACACAACTAGGATGACCTTGATCGTGTTTACCTGCACCCTTTCGGCCTTGGCGGTCAAACCAAGCAAAAGAAGCAAATAACCACCAAACTTATCCCACATATATACCCACTCGGTGTCAATAGCTTCTTCGAGGGCAAGAATTCGGGCATGGGCACACATTTCTCTTCTGTGGCCTAAATCACCCGTGATTTCCTTCCGTAATACTCTCCAATCTCCCAATCGGGAGAAAAGTGATCCTGCAGCCAGCTCTTCATTTCGCAAACGGTCTCTTAATTTCATGACATCAGCCCTAGGAAGCACAAAGTTCCCTGCCCTATCACGCGCAATGGTTGGGTCCCCAACCAAAAGTGCAGCTGAACTGGCCGACCTTTGAGGAGCTGAGTATGTTCCAGATAAAGCATTTCTTGTCTGCATAATAAGCATATTTATTATTTAGACAACCATCTAGAAATCTTGCAGTCTACTGGGTCCGTAAGACCTCCATGATTTTCAGCTCAAGAATCAAATGGTAAAGAGATTTCAAACAGAAAATCGACATGCCTATATCATTTATAATAAACTGATATCTAATAATATAGTAGGGCTTTGTCTGATACAAGGGCTTCTTGACAGCAACCATCTAGGGAAAGAGAAAGCGATTGATTGGTCTCACCTTGGTTGCAGATCTAGCGATTGCTTGTACCACAGTGTCCTTACTGAGGAAGTGAACAGCATCTTCCACCATCTGAAAAACGAATGACAAAAAATGGAACATGATTAAAAGTGGTCCTTAACTTGAAATAAGGGTTTATCAATGTCATATCTAAGTGACTCAAATACTGTATAATGGGTCAAGATGAGGAATAAAACCTCAAGGGTTAAGCATGAACGTGACACGGCAAAGCCAAAGGCCACAACAAGCGTAATAGCTGAAACAGCAGCACCGGCAAAAGGCGGGTAGATTTTCAAGCTGGCAACAACACCCCATCCTTCAATCGCCAGTGCAATACCATAAAGCACAAGGAATGCAGCACTGAATAAAGATATTGTCAAACATTTATCTTGGGTATTATTTCTAGCTGAAAAGTGTGTGTTCAAGAAAATCAGAATGTATACAAATATCAAACGTAAAAAAAAAAAAAAGAAAAAAAAAAAAGGAATAATGATAGTAATAGATGAATTTAACAAACCTGACATTTTTCCCACAATCTGCATGAGCATCATAAACGTATACCGGTAATACTCTTGGAGAATAAACCACTATAGGAGGAGAAAGAAGGACCTGCAAAATCCAAGCAGCCGATATTTGAAAAGGATACAATATGCTGACAAAAGGTGAACACCAGTATTTATAGTGAAAACTAAATTAATGTGGCATCTTGAGTAGTCATATGCAACTCACAGTTAGGGCCCTTCCAGCCAACAGGAAAAGAAACGAGAAGTAACCAACGGATGCACCCACAAAAGCCATATCTGAAAATTGCAGAAATTTGAAATTATGTTACATCAACGGACAGATTGGACATAATTTAGATCTTTGGTTAAATGAAATGATTCAAGGTAATTCAACTTTTTCAACTTATTAGGTAAAGGATCGATGAGGTGGAAATGCTAAAATATTTCACCTAGTCGCCAACCAACAATAAACGCTGCAAGAGCCAGAAGTAACGCAAGGAAACAAACAAATAGCATCTGAAACCGCGTCAAGTAAAAATTGTTCGAAGCCCAGTAGTGAATGACGCCAATGGCCAGGACCAAAAGAAGAACAACTAAAAAGAATGCTGCACCAATCTGTTATAGTAAAGACAGCCATGTTAGCTGAGGCAAAATGAATTATAATGCAAAAGTAAAAGTTCTCCAAATGCTTTCTCACCTCCCATGGCTCAATTATAACTGTAACTGCTGAAATTGCCCCGAACAACAGAACCAGGCCAATGATCATAAATAAATAAGCGCCTCGAGAAAGCTTCCAGTTGTCATCTTTCCTACAATCATATACTCAAGATGTTAGTCCTTGTTAAACGTAACATTCCGGAGAATAAATATAATATATATTCAAGAACCATAACTAGGCAAAAGACGGAACAAATTGTACATCAAATGGTCACATACCACTTGAGCAAACCAGATGATAGTGACAATATTGCGGGCATGCAAATCAACGGAAGCAAAGCCGCAAGAAAGTCAGCCTTCATCGGGGTCCGGTCGCCTCTTGAATTCACAACCATCATAAATGATGTTCCGCAAAATGACACAAGCACAGCTAAAAAAGGGAAATTGTTGCTCAGTAATGAAATGCCACATCAAGCTGATCAATGGAGTAAGACAGACATGACAAAATGAAAATTATACCTGCAAACAATCCAATACATACGGCAGAGGAAAGAGAAAATCTATAAGTTGCAAACCATGACACTATAGGCAGCACGCCAGTAACTACTAATGCAACTGCAGAAGCCGCTGCCCAGCCAATATAAATGGATGACACATATGGAGATGAAACACTTTTCTGATTGCCAGTCAAGCCCTTGTAGCGTAAATCATCCAAAGGATTTGCAGATATGATTCCACCAAGAGCTAAAAGAGAGCCAGCAAACAAAGCAATGCAAACGAAAAGAACAACGCCCTGACATCAAATTGTAGCAGTTTCATCAATTACAATTAGGACTTTAAAGAACTTCTGAGCATACAAATCATGGTCCGATTCATGACGGCTGCTTACGTAAGCAACCAACCCAATGAAGATTAGATAAAGTGAAATTTGCGTGAAAGAATTTGTTTTCATAAACTAATATATATTTCTACACATATTAAGATTGGTCGGTACTATGTAACTTCCCAACCCACGTGTTCTATAAGAGTCAGAGCAACTCGAATGGATTTATAGTAGAGAGACTGCATGATTCAGTTCATCATAAAGTAGAATATATTCAAACAACATTGAACTAGATGACAAGAATTAAGAGAACTCAGGCATCCAAGAAAAGGAGAATACAATACCTCCTTCCTTATAAAAGAAGGATTCTCAGTATGGGCTGCATTACTACCACCCAAAGCCCAAAAGTTATAACCATTGCGAATCCATATGGGAATACCAACAGATAGGCATGCCACCATGAGAGGTACTGTCAGGGACAATCCCAGAAGAACAGACGACTTGCTGCAAGAACAAGCACACACAGTCAAAGAAGGGAATACATTATGCTTTACAGTGTCACAGTTCGGATAGCGAGATGGATGACAATGTAGTGTATATGATTTCAAACATGATTAAGGGAACCATACCTCAGAAAGGAAAGCAACAATCCAACTGAAGTGCTCACAAACCAAGCAATGAACCCATACTGCATTGCAGTAAAAACGTAAGGCAATGTATTAAAATCCACATCGCATAAATACTAGACCTAGGAATGTCAGGAAATAACATGTACCAAGTACCAACATATCTTACACTATGGACCCTAGGACAGCCATGCAACACAACTAAAGGCCAAAGAATTAAGGGAAACAATGTAAGCAATACATCTTGAGGACCTTAGAATTAAGTATTAGTTAAATGCACACATCCATGATCCGATAAACTTTAAGGTTCTGGAGAAAATATTTGACTGTCATGCAAAATAAAATTCAATCAGGGAACTATTCATAGTAGGTTAAATGTAAGAGGATCAATGAAGGAGGAGGGATGGTGTCTAGCAAGAGGATATACAATTATA